ATCTTTTTATTTTGCATTTTGCTACTATTAAGTAGAACTAGGACTATTGGACCTGACCTTGTTGAATCCTACTTAAGTATTCCTTTATTATTCCCCATATCCTGTTTGATGAAAAGCCTTACATAGGATGTGTGGTAGACTCTTGGCATTGACAATTTATACTATTCACCTGTGACCTTGAAGGTCTCAGAATGAACAAGTGAAAATCCATGGCCTGTAGTAATTGTTCATTTTTTTATGGTAAGAATTTGAATTATAACCACACTGCAAGGTTGCTGTGTGGGAAACTGTCACTTAACCAGTAAATGTTCATGAGCAATGAATGGCCTTTGCATCCTCACTTGATTGCAGCTCCACAGGGAAAAACAGAAATTCTGGTGTCAGGAACTGGTCTTGCTGATGTAAAGGGTCTGCTGTGTAGGAGCAAAGGGAGAAGCAAAAGCATTAAAAGAAGGATCACTTTTTAGAGGCAAGGTTTTAGCCTAATAAAATGTTGTAGGTATTAAGCGTAATTTTGTGTTTGCCTTCATGATATGTTAGGTTGGGAATCCGAGTGACTTGGAAAAGCTGGTTGGGGATGGCTTTTTGCATGAAGGACTTTAAGAGCTTTTAAAAGACCAAGTGGGACAGGCTAGATGTGGTAGCTCACGCCTGGAATCCCAGCACTTTGGGAGGCCGAGGTGGGAGGGATCACAAGGTCAGGAGTTCGAGACCAGCCTGGCCAATATGGTGAAACCCCATCAAGAAAAATTAGCCAGGCGTGGTGGCGGACACCTCTAGTCCCAGCTACTGGGGAGGCTGAGGCAGGAGAATAGCTTGAACTCGGAAGGCAGAGGTTGCAGTGAGCTGAGATCGGGCCACTGCACTCCAGCCTGGGTGACAGAGTGAGACTATCTCAAAAATAAAATAAAAATAAAATAAAATAAAATAAAACTAAGTGGGACACACTTTTACAGTGCATATTAGAATATCTGTAGAGCTTAAATTTTCATTGTTCTGGCTGTTATGCACAAAAGAAAAAACTTTAGCCATTTCTTTAGTGAAGCCTCCTTTATTGTGAATGGTTTCTTGATAAAACATTTCCACATACGTGTAGAATCGTAGATTCTGTTAGCAAGAGAAGGGGTAGGAAAAGAGCATCTGTAGTGAGATTTGATGGTTATTATTCTGAATTTCTTCATTACCATGTTTCTGGGCAAGGATAAAGGAAAGTACAAGAAATTATCTTCTTTGATTATTATCTTCTTCCTCCTTTGATGAAGTAGAGTTCTTTGTGGTGGGGTAAAGAGGCACAGTACACGGAAAGATTTTTTTTTTCAATACTCTGCAGTGTAGCCTCGAAGTTAAGACCTTTTCAAGTTAAGACTCTCCTTCTCTCCCTGTAACTTTTGTCTTTACTTGAAGCAGACTTAGAAGTCTTCAGCTTCTGAATGGACTGAAACCATGAAATCTGAGTTCCATTATTAATCATGTATTTACCTTAGCTGATGGTGTTTTCAAAAGTTTCATCCTTCCTTGTAGTTTTATAGGGTATATGGCTCTGTAAGAATTCTTGTTTTCAGTCTTACTGCTTTTCCTATGCCACAGACTCTTTCCTTTCTTCCTTCAAACATGTAAAGATCTCATAGTGGGTAACAGTATGTATTTTAGAGCTAGGCAGTCCTGGCTTAAGTCCTTACTTGGTCACTGGCTATCTGTGTAAACTTGAGCAAGTTTCTTAACCTCTCTGTTTTAGTTTCTTCATCTGTAAAATGAGAATAATAATAATAATAATTCCTACCTTATATGGTTGGTGTGGGGATTAAATGATTTAATACTTTGAAGTACATAGAAGATGCCTGATACATAGTAGGTAGTCAGTAAATGTTACTTTTATTATCATTATCCTCTTCATCATCTCCCATGCTCAATCACTGAGATTTGTTACTTTTTCTTTTTTTCTTTTTTTGAGGTGGAGTCTTCACTCTGTCGCCCAGGCTGGAGTGCAGTGGCACCATCTCGGCTCACTGCAAGCTCCGCCTCCCGGGTTCGCGCCATTTCTCCTGCCTCAGCCTCCGGAGTAGCTGGGACTACAGGCGCCCGCCACAGCGCCCGGCTAATTTTTTGTATTTTAGTAGAGACGGGGTTTCACCGTGTTAGCCAGGATGGTCTCGATCTCCTGACCTCGTGATCCGCCCGCCTCGGCCTCCCAAAGTGCAGGGATTACAGGCGTGAGCCACCGCGCCCGGCCTACTTTTTCTTTTTTAGACTCTAGCATTCCCTTCTCTTTGCCCACCAGCACTGATACAGTTCCAGACCATTACATTAGTACCTCATGCTTAGGTATAGTACTGCCACAATTTTCAAGAGAGCTTCTGTTAACACCCTGCTGCCTCTAATTGCTAGTTTGTGCCATTGCTTTTCAGTACTAGACTAATAACAGTTTGATATTGTCACACCCCTGCCCAAGAGCCCACAGCGTTTTTCAGTATCTTGTTTTATGAAGCCCTTATTTCCTTACCTGACTCTGGCTTATCATTACTCTCTTCCTCTACTCTGGCCAGTCTTGTATTTTCTCATCTACCTTATGTAGTTGGACGTTTGCTCATGTTCTTCCTTTGGTCTTTATGCCCTTCCTTAATGTCCTTTGTACTCTTATTATTTCTGTCCTAGCCATATGTAAAGAATCCAATGATTCTTTCTTTTCTTGTCTTTTTTTAAATTTTGAAATAAAGTCTTGCTCAGTCACCCAGGGTGGAATGCAGTGATGGGAAGAATCCAGTGTTTCTAAGAAGGCTTTCTGGATGTTAAGAACTGAGCTAGGTCAGGAACAGGATTGGTAGAAATGGGAGAGACTCAGACTAGAAAGACAGGTTGATTTAGAGATCAGAGTATGGATTAGGGATTAGAGCCTTTAAATTTAAGAATGACAAAGAGGAACTAGTCTGAAAAGCAGATCTAAGGTGGAAGGAGCAGTTTAAGCTGTAAGGATTAGGAAGTGAAGGGATGGTATATGAGTGACAACTGAGAGCAAAATTTCAAGGCAGTGTTGAAAATCTGAGATGTCGCTAAGGTTTGAGATAGAGCCGGGCAGATCCAGATGGACCAGGTGGTTTTAAGGTCCACATGAACAGGCAAGATGGCATACTTCTAAATTCGTAAGAGAACCAGTTAAGATCAAGAACTAGGTGTTAGGAATCTGAAGCAGTGAGTAGTAAGGTCTCAGGCACTCAGAGATTAGAATTGTAACAGAATAAAATAGGTCTCCGGGTTGGCTCTAGTATCAAAATTAGCACAGGGTGACATCAAAACTGAGTGTGCTGAGCCAGAGGACTACTAAATTTCCTTCTGGCTAAGATCAGAACTGGGTTGTGAGAATATTGCTGTTTTGAGGCAACTTTATAGGCTCCTTTACCAGAGGTGTAGGGCTGGAGTGACTACCATTAATTAAGGCCTTCACTGATTTCAGTGAGCTTAGTGTATGTTCCATATTATTGAGTTCCCAATTAAACACCACTACTATCTTGTATTGCTGTGGTAGACTGCTATGAGTCTCATTTTCTCCATTCGTATCTTAAGCTAGTTCAGATTAGGACCATTTTTAAAAAAGAACTTTGTGATATGACTGGCATTCAAGTGTGTACATTTAAAGCACACAATTTGATGTTTGACCTGTGTATGAGGGTAAAACTATCACAATCAAGAAAATGAACATATTCATCACCCTCAAAAGTTTTCTTGTGTTCCCTTATAATTCTTCCTTTCTGTACCTCTTTTTCCCCCCTTCCCCTTTCTAGAATATATATATATATATATTTTTTTAAGAGATGGTGTCTCACTCTGTCATCCAGGCTGGAGTGTGGGTGTGATCATAGCTTGCTATAATATGGAACTTAGCTTAAGCAATCTTCCTGCCTCAGCGTCTTGAGTAGCTGGGACTACAGGCATGTGCCACCATGCCTTACTATTTTCTAGAATTTTATTTAAATGGAATCATACAGAATAAACTATTTTTGTTTGACTTTCTTCCATTCAGCATATTTATTTTTACCCCCTTAAAAAAGTATAATTATTTTGAGTGTCAGTAGTTCACTTCTTTTTATTGCTGAAGAGTATTCCATTGTGTGGATATATCTTTATTTTTTCATATACCTTTTGAAACCAGGAAACAGTCATTCTGTAGGTGATAAGAGAATTGACTGAATTCGGAGACCAGAGGATGAAAGGGAAGAATAGTACGGAGAGAAAATAAGAATAATGTCTTTATCTTATCTCTAAAGACACAGAAGGAAGTGAGTTGTTATAATAGTTGTAGGGTATTTGTTTTGGTCTGACTTGACTTCCTGTTGGTTTATCATTTTTCTGTAATAGTCTGCTAATGCTACTGAAGAGGAGTATAAAAAAACTCAATTATAGGTCAGGTGTGGTGGCTTATGTCTGTAATGGCAGTACTTTGGGAGGCCAAGACAGGAGGATCACTTGACCCCAGGAGTTCAAGACCAGCCTCGGCAACATAGAACTCAGATCTGTTAAAAATAACAAATGAGCCAGATATAGTGGCATGTGCCTATGATCTCAGCTACTCAGGAAGCTGAGGCAGGAGGACTGCTTGAGCCTGGGAGGTTGAGGCTGCAGTGAGCCATGATTGCATCACTGCATGCAGCCTGGGTGACGAAGTGAGACTCTGTCTCAAAAAAAAAAAAAAAAACCAAAAACCAACCTCAATAATTGTGTTACATAGTAACTTCAAGTAAACCTTGAACGCCTGTAAATTTGTCTTTCAGACCAAAAAAAAAAAAAAATTACAAAGTATTTTTAAAGTTTAGAATTAGAACACAGTATAGATCATGTGTTTCTTAATTTCTTCTAGAAGTCGCATCATTAACTACATTGTTATTTAACGTAGGCTCTCAATTCTGTTGTGTTTACCATAGTTACTGTATTTATTTCAAAGGTTTTTCTTTCTAGAATATCTTGATTTTGAATCTGATGATTAAGCTTAAAAATATTTTGTTTTGTAGCCATGCAGGATATACGTACTGTGGGTCTTGTGCCGCCCATGCTTATAAACAAGTGGATCCGTCTATTACGTAAGTAATGTAGTTTTAAGTTGGAGAAGCTTGAGAATTGATTGCTTTGTGATAGAAGTAATTTGCTTTTTATACTTACTGTTATTATGTGCTCGATTTCATGAGGGATTTGACTTTTGATGAATTTTACTATATATAGGTTACTGAAAACTTCAATACTTTTTTGTTGTTGTTTGAACATCTGCTTTTTACCTTCCCTTTGGCATGTAAAATGTTTAGTTATGAAGGTTAAATATTTTGTTTTTAAATATTTCTTTGAAAACCCAGAGATGAGCATTCTTAAGAAAAATGCAAAGCCCTCTGATCTGTTTTAATCATTTCGTAATTTAAAATTCTTTATTGTACTTGTTAAAATTGTGGTTACTGAAAGGATAATTTGTCATTGACAGGATAAGGTATTTGAAATATTTTAGAATCTGACAGTGAATTTAATATGATGTTTGAGGCATATTAACTCTTAATAATTCAATGACAGCTCTGAAATTAGCTTAAAAAAAAAAACTTCCTGGGAACTTGAGACTCCTTTAATAGTATACTACTCTGTAAGAAACTGTGAACTTTCAAGAGGTTTTGCTGGAAATAGTCACTCATTTTATTTACACAGTTAATTTACTAGCTGTGAACCAATATCTGGCCCTAGTTTGCCAGATGTACAAGCTATGTGAATAGGTAAAGTGATCATCTTAGTTCTGTCAAATACTGATTGTTAGGTCTGAATTAGTAGAGATGTAGTATAGTTGTTCAAAAGAAATAGCTCATAGCAGCCATGATTTAATAAAGAAAATCATGCACAGCCCACTTGCCTTTGAGCAGTTCATTCAAAGTTTTTAAACAAAAAAGCTGTTCTTTCAAATTTTTATGTAGCATTGTCTGTACATTTTATTATAATTCATTGAAAATTACTTTTGGCAAGCTTTTACTAAAAAGAAAGCAATGATATTTATAAATTGGTGAGGTTTTGGCTAGACCTGTCTCATTTATGATGTTTTGAGGAGCATTGTTCACATTTATTCCCTGATACATGTTTAATATATAATCTTAAATAATTTCATGAATAAGAGCAAATAGAAGTTAAATTGAAATGATTTTTTTAAAAGTCCAGGCCTGGTGGCTCACACCTGTAATCCCAGCACTTTGGGAGGCTAATGCGGGCAGATTACCTGAGGTCAAGAATTCGAGACCAGCCTGGCCAATATAGTGAAACCCTGTCTCTACTAAAATACAAAAAAAAAAAAAAGAAAAAATTAGCTGGGCATGGTGGCACACGGCTGTAGTCCCAGCTACTTGGGAGGCTGAGGCAGGAGAATTGCTTGAATCTGGGAGGGGGAGGTTGCAGTGAGCTGAGATCGTGCCACCACACTCCAGGTTGGCAACAGAGCAAGACTCCATTTCAAAAAAAAAAAAAAGGATTTTTTATAAGTTTCTTTCATTTGACTTGGGCCTGTAAACCAGCTATAATAAAAGTTAGTTTATATAACAGCCTTTTCTTTTTGAAACCTTCCTCTATTTGGCAAAAGTTTTGTTGATAAAACTCATGTGCTAGTGGGACACTCCAGAGTTAAATTAGGTTTAGGAATTTGTAGAGGGGTATAGAGTTTATATTCGTAGAAGTGGGAAGTATGTGTTAAATAAGTTAATGGAAAGTGAGAAAGAAGGCAAAAGGAAAGAGGAAAAAATGGAGGAGTGCCAAGGACTAAGAAGAGGAAGATAAAGAAGATGAGTAGAAAGAGAGGCAAATGATGGCTGATGTGATCAAATTATTTTATTTTAATTAATTATTTTTGAGACAGTCTGGTTCTGTCACCTACGCTGGAGTGCAGTGGTGCAATCTTGGCTCACTGCAACTTCTGCCCCCAGGTTCAGTCAGTTCTCCTGCCTCATCCTCCCAAGTAGCTGGGACTACAGGTGCACGCCACCGTACCGAGTTAATTTTTTGTATTTGTGGTGGAGACAGGCTTTTGCCACATTGGCCAGGCTGGTTTCGAACTCCTGACTGCAGGTGATCTGCAGTCAGGCCTCGGCCTCCCACAGTGCTGGGATTACAGGCATGAGCCACTGTGCCCAGCCCGATCAAATTATTTTTTGTAATTACTATATAATAATTGAATTCTGAATGAATAAATTTTAAGGTCTAAGTGTAAAATTAATAATTGACAGTCACAGTTGATTTCTCTTGAAAGAGGCACTCTCTGGGAATTATAATGTCTTTAGAGTGCTTTGAGAAAGTAGAGAAAGAACATCCTTATGAGAAAGGTTAAATTCTATACTACCACTTTCTGTTCTTAACTTCCACATTAATCCATTTGCATTCTGTTTTTCAGCCAGGATCATCTTTTGAAAATGTAAATGACACTATGTCACTTTCCAGAATTTAAAAGTGGGTAGGGGATACAAATATGATTTTAAAAGGCATTACAAATAACAGGTAGCAGTTATTCCAAAATTGATGTTAGAATGCTGACTAGCAGCTTGGAAAAAGAAATTGGTTTAGAACCTCTGCTAACACCATCCATCAAAGTAAATACTAGTTAGGTAAGGGTATTAACATATCTGGAGAGGCATTTCAAGCCACAGCTAATTTGGAACACCATATGTCTTAATGTTTATGAGACATTGTTGAGAAGAGTATAAAGCATGATAAATTGTAATTAAATTACATGAAAAAATAACTCAAGTCATAATGTAACCAGTGGAAGTGATGAACAGAATGGGAAAAATACTTGCAAAAAAAATGACAAAGGATAATATCAAAAAATCATAAAATTCTTAGTACTTAGAGGCTAACTCATCATAATAAGAATATGAACTGAAATTACAAGAAGTAAATGTAATTAATAAAAATGGAAATATGTTTTATTTTTCTACAAAAATAGAAATAAAAACAGTAGTGAAGTGCCAATTTAAATGAACAGTTTGAAGAACAATACAGCTGGGCGCGGTGGCTCATGCTTGTAATCCCAGCACTTTGGGAGGCCGAGGTGGGCGGATCACGAGGTCAGGAGATCGAGACCATCCTGGCTAACACGGTGAAACCCCGTCTCTACTAAAAAATACAAAAAATTAGCTGGGCGTGGTGGTGGGCACCTGTAGTCCCAGCTACTCTGGAGGCTGAGGCAGGAGAATGGTGTGAACCCAGGAGGCGGAGCTTGCAGTGAGCTGGAGATCGCCGGCCCACTGCCACTCCCAGCCTGGGGTGACAGAGCGAGGACTCCGGCCTCAAAAAAAAAAAAAAAAAAAAAAAAAAAAAAGAACAATACAGTTGTGTAATTCCTATAATCCAGAACTGGCTAGATTATGGCAAAATTAGTTTTTTATAAAAAAAAAGTGCATTTCAATGGACTATATCAGGTTAACGCTTTAGGAAAGCAATTTGATAATATATATTAAGAGTCATAAAAATGTATATAATTACTGGCTTAGAAATTCCCGTTCGGAAGCTCTATCCTAATAAGTCCCAAAATGAAAAAAGTTAAATGTGTTAAGTTTTCTACAGCAGCATTGTTTTTTAAAAGAGTCTTAAGTTTCTGATAGTGCATTGACTAAATAAAAAAAGCAGGGTATAAAATTGTGCAAAATTGGGAAAAAGAATGTACTATATGAGGTTAAATAAATTATTGTAATGGATGCTAATAGTTTGCATATGTTTTCTTATATGAGAAATAGATATATTATTTTAATGGTGAAAAATATAAAATTTAAAAGCATTTGTGCAAAAATGATTACAAGTTGAGGGGATTAATGATTCTTAAACTGACAGAATCGTTCTTTGATTTATAATATGACTGGTCAGGGCCTAATAACATTTTTCGTTCTTTTTCTTCTTCTTCTTTTTTTTTTCTGAGATGGAGTCTCTCTTTGTCACCCAGGCTGGAGTGCAGTGGTGCAATCTTGGCTCACTGCAACCTCCACCTCCTGAGTTCAAGTGATTCTTCTGCCTCAGGCTCCCAAGTAGCTGGAATTACAAGCATATGCCACCAGGCAGGCCTGGATAATTTTTTTATTTTTAGTAGAGATAAGGTTTTACCATGTTGGCTAGGCTGGTCTCGATCACGTGACCACAAGTGATCTGCCTGCCTTGGCCTCCCAAAGTGTTCGGATTGCAGGCATGAGCCACTGCGCCTGGCCAAGATTTTTCTTTTCACAGTAACTAGTAGGGCTGATAACTTAATGGGGAGTGTGAGAAGCAGGTTTTGAGGTGATAACGAAGATTGTTCACAAACAAACTTCCCTATTTCATGAAGAATTAGTAGCAAAGGTTTTCAGATGTTGCTTTCCTAGAGAAATGGATGAATAAATTAAAGCATATTTATTTTAAAAGTTTATTAAGTGACTGCTATGATCCAGATATTGTGGTAGTGCTAGAGACACAGCGATTAATAAAACAGACATGGTTTTAGCTCTGTGCTGATAAATTGGTAGGTGAGATAGATATTAAGCATATGATAATGAATATAGATATCTTATTAAAAACTAAAAATTTAACAGCTGAAAGTGAAATACAGTGGTTCTCAAACTTCTTGGTTTCAGGAACCCTGTATACTTCTAACTTATTAAGGACACCAAATGTAGACCACATCTACCTTTGTTGAATGCATTCAAAATTAAAATGAGATACTTAAAAAATTATTTTAAAAAGTAAACAAATTAGAGGTTAATAAAAACATTTTTAAAAATGAGAAGTACATTTTCTAATAGAAGATAGTGGGAAAAGTGGCATTGCTTTAACTTTTTTTTTTTACAAAATGTAAAAATGTCATATTTTTACTAGTTATTAAATCTCCTTTTAATGTTTGGCTTAATAGAAGAAGATAACTATGTTCTCATATCTGGTTATGCATTCATCCTGTTGTCATCATTTGTTTTGGTTGAGGTATATGAAGAAAATCTAACCTCACACAGATACGTAGTTAGAAAAGGAAGAGGAGTAGTGTACTTACCTTTTCAGATAATTGTGGATGTTTTTCTTTAATACTACACCAAAACTCAACAAATGGTAGTTT